GGATACAAAGAAAAGCAAAAAATGATTCCTGCCATCAAGGAGCTTACAGTCTAACAGGACAGACAACAAGCAAGCAAATATGTACAAACAAGGTATAGGCAGGATAAATTGGAAAGAATTAAGGGAGGGTGGGACAGGCTTTCTGTAGAAGGTAGGATTTTATCTGGGACTTGAAGGAAGCCAGTAAACAGAGATGAGGAGGGAAGTATTCCAGGCATGGGGGACAGCCAAAGAAAAAGCCTACAGGTCAAATGTCTTGTTCATGGATTACTAAGTAGGCAAGTGTCTCTCCATTAAAGAGTATATGGGAAGGGAGGATGTAAGGGGTAAGAAGACTAAAAAGGTAGGGAGCATCCAGTTTATGAAGGGCCTTCAGTGCCAAACAGAGGATTTTGTTTTGATCCTGAGGTGATAGATAGGTACTGGAATTTATTGAATAGTATGAAGTGACATGGTCAAAGACGCACTTTAAGAAAATCACTTCGGTGAGTAGGTGAAGAATGGACTGGAGTGGGAAGACACTTGTGGCAGGCAAACCAGTAAGGAGACTATGTCCATTGTGCAGGCATGAGATGACGAAGGCATGCACCAGAGTGATGGCAGTGTCTGAGGAGAAAAGGGAGCATACGTTAGCGATAGTGCAAAGGTAGAACTGACAGGTCTTGGCAACAGATAGAATATGGAGGGTGAGAAATAGTGAGGAGTCAAGGATGAGTCCTAGGTTGTGAACTGGAGGGACTGGGAGGTTGTTGGTTTCTTCTAGAGTAACAGGGAAGTTTGGGAGTTGGGGAAGGTTTTAGGGGAAAAGAAAATCAGTTTCGTTTTGGACGTGTTGAGCTTAAGATGTCTGCTGGACACCCAGTTTGAGATGTCCGATAAGCAGTTGGAGAGGCGGGATTGGAAGTCAGCAGAGAGGTAAGGACTGGATAAGTAGATTTGAGAACCATCAACACAGGGTGATAATGGAATCCATGGGAGCTGATGAGATCATCAAGTGATTAGTATAAAGGCGGAAGACAAGAGGGCCTAGAACAGGACCCTGTGGGACATCTGTAGTAAGAGGTCACGATCTGCATGATCTGGATCCAGAAAAGAAGAGCAAGAAAGAATAGTCAAATAGGTTTGAGAACCGAGAGAGTAGTATCCCCAAAACCCAGAGAGATAAGAGTATCAAGAAGAGAGTACCCAACAGTTACAAAGGTCACAGAGAGGTCAAGAAGGATGAGGATTGAGAATAGGCAGCTGGATTTGGCAAGTAAGAGATGACTGGCTGCAAGAAAAATTATGTTTACAGGAAGTAAGGAGGAAGACTTCAAACTTTATTATAAAAGCAGCAGTTATCAAAACCACCTGGTATTGGTTAAAAAATAGAGAAGTAGATCAATGGAACAGACCAGACAAGGAAGATTCAGAAATAATAGGATTCAATGACCCAGTGTTTGATAAAGTCAATAACATATGTGACCTAGGGAAACTCCTCCTTTCTGATAAAAACTGCTATGAAAACTAGAAAGCTGTCCGGTAGAAGTTAGGCCTTAGACCAACACCTTTACTGCACTCCACAATACATTCCAAATGCATATGTGACCTTAATATTAAAGATCGCACTATAAAAAAATTATAAGAGTAACAGATCTGGTACCTCTCACAGCTATAGATAAGAGATTTATTCTTAATCGAATAAGGGATAGAGGCAACTAGAAAAGATAAAATAGATAACTTTGATTACTTAGAACTGAAAAGCTTCTACATAGACAACGTTAATGAGAAGGAATAAGAAGGAAAGTGGATGATGTGTGTGATGAATACAGAGAAGCGGGGAAAACTCTGTATGAATTGATGCAAAGTGAAGTAGGCAGAGCCAAGATAACAATATACACAGGAATTAGAACAATCTAAATGGGGAAAAAGCCACATCAAAAAATCAGAAGTAAATGTAACAAAATTACAAAGATCAAGCAGGACTCAAATGAAGAGATATGAGAAGACATCCCCTAATCCACCTGTGGGTGGAGGCAGGAAGTCGCAGCTGTTACATATTACACTTGTTAGAAGACTTTCTCACTGAGTCAAACAATTATGCTGATTTCTTCTTTAAAAAACAACAGCAAATCAGGTGAGGTTGGAACTGGTCACATCTTCAAATGCACTCACATATATCTGGGACTTTAGAGTTTTACTTTTCTTTGCCTGGTACAGGTAAAATGCTTCTTGACTTTTTTGTCATAGGAGATAGCTCCAGGAGTGGGGAGGAGGAAGGATCTATGGAATACCATGGTGATGTAAGAAGCAGAAAACATCAATAAAAATTATTTAAAAGAAAAAAATTATTGGTAATTTTGGAGAATTGTTTCAGTTGAATGATGGGGTCAGAAGCCATATTGTAAAGACTTAAGAAGAGAGTAAGAAAGGTGGAGGCACCTCTTGTAGACAGCCTTCTCAAGCTTAGCCAAAGACTACCCCACTGTGACCATGAGCAAACTACTTAACCTGAGCCCCAGTTTACTCATCTGTTAAAGGGGATTATAACAACACCTACCTCACAGGGATGTGATGAAGATCAGATGAAATAACGTATGTAAACTACATCGCAAAACTTAAAGAAGTGTATAATTAACTGTTATTTTAGTATGTCTTACCCTCCCCTCTAAATTGTAAAGTCCTTCGAGAGCAGAGACTAAATCTTACATGTCTTTTTTTTTATCCAGAACCTTGCGTAGTGTCTTGCATATAATAAAGCCTCAATAAATTTTCACTGACTGAATGAATGAATTGGTCTGACAGCTCCACAGATTCAGAAGCCTTCATTATTTTGCTGTCGTCCTCTCCCTTCCCCTAAATGGATATTTAAAGAGGTAAAAGAAATCCATTGCAAGTTCATTTTTCAAGCAAAATGTGCCATTCAGGGCCAGCCTTACAGATGTTAGCAGAATAACCAGGCCCCTAAGTAGTGTCATTTAATATCTACCCTCCCCTACAGCCTATGGTTTGTCAAGGGCACTGCTCTTCCTCATTAAAATTCTCACCATTGGACTCGTTGATAGGTTAGATTACAAAGGCCCTGGAGCCCTGAGGGGATGATATTAAGCAGGAAGGCAGCTTTCTAGTGGGGAAGAAAGCCTGCCAGACACATGACCTGAGTATAAGAGGTTTGTATTATATCCCTGGACCAGCGAGGGTAGTCCTAAATTAATGAAGCATGGGAATGGAAATGAAAAAGAAGAGAATATTATAGACCAATAAATATTTAAAGAATATTTAGCTAACTTTCCAATTCTGCCTAGGGCTAGTCTTGGTACCATATTTAAAAAAGAGAAGACATTAAATCATTCTTACAAACAGAATTTATTAGGAAACTAGCATTGTAGACAGAGTATTGCACTTGTATTTAAAATGACCTAGGTTCAAATCATGCCTCTGACTAGCTCTATGGTGCTGGGTCAATCTCATTATTCCTCTGAGTTTATTTATCTGTCAAATGATGAACCTCATTTCAACCTCACCTGGTTGTATGTGAGACTCAAATTAAATAATCTTTATTAAGTGTTATCTTAATGTCGGCAATAATTGACTTCCCCTGACCTTGATGATTAAGAATTAATCATATATTCATCTAGAACTGGTCACATCTTCAAATGCACTCACATATATCTGGGACTTCAGAGTTTTACTTTTCTGTGCCTGGCACAGAATAGGCACTTAATAAGTGCTTCTTGACTTGGCTATTCTTACAACCGTTCTGTGAGGTATGTCAGGAAGACATTAGAATCTGCATTTGATATGTGAGGAAAATGAACTCTAGGGAGTTTAAATAGAAGTTTAAGTTGAAGATTTGCCCACAGTCACATAGCTAGTAGGTATTAGAGCTGGCATTAGATGACCCCCAAGGTCACTTTCAGCTTTAAATTTGTGATCCTATGATTTGAGCCTAAATGACTTCATATCCAAACTTATAGATCACAAGAAGATAGAATTAGAGTTATATGGGATCTTATAGACCATCCAATCCAATCTTTCATTTTACAGATGAGAAAACTGATGTCCAGAGAGATTAAATGATTTCCTCATAGTTTTACATGTATAATAGTTAACATTAAAAAAAAAAATTTAAGGTTGCCAAAGTGCTGTAAAACATATTATTTCATTTGGTGTTCTCATTAACCCTGTGTAATAGATATTAATTATTAACCTCATTTTACAGATGAGGAAACTGAGGCTGAGAGAAGTTGGAACTTACCCGTGGTCATCATAGGCATGCACGGACCATGGTCCTCAGGGGAAGGACCAGTGGTAAATATCTGCTCCAGGATGGGTTAGAACATTATGAATGCCTAATTAATGTCAGAGGCATGATATGATATCCAGATCTTCCTGACTGTAAGCCCAATACTTTTTCTCTTCCACCTGTGAGCAGATATCAGAGAGTATGGCAGACAGATTCTGTAAGAAATATAGTTTAGGAACATAAATTGCCCTGCCCTGAGGCAATCGTAATTTCTAACTGACTAAAACTGGTTGAATTAATCACCAAAACAATCATCTCTAACCCTGCCTGCAACATTTCTTGAGTATCTTTATATGCCAGGCATTGAGTAAGAGGGGAACTGTTTTATAACCTAAACATCTAGCACAGTGCCTTAACGAGTTAATTAGTAATTAATAAGTGCCTCAGTAAGCCCTTAATAAATGCTTGTTGGTTGATTAGTTGATTGGTTGAGAAGAACTTACTGTCTGGTTGGAGAGATAAGATACATAGATTAAAAACAGTAACATGTCAATAAAAATATTCAAAGTAATAATTGTAATAAAAATGGGCTCTTCATTGTAAAAAAATTTATATGAAAATAACTGTCCATTGAATAGGGAATGGCTGAACAAAGTATTACAAAAATGTAATGAAATATTATAAAACTAGAAAAGATTTTAGGGACTAAGAGTGATACCAATCATAAATGATTCATTATTTTTTCCTAATTGCTCATATATTTATTATATTCTAGGAGAGTTGACTTTAGAGGAATTCATCAGTGGCTTAGAAAAAGACCAAAATCTTTTGGAGATGATTACCAAGAGTTTTGACCTCTCCCATGTACTGAAAGTAATTCAGAACGGGAGGAAGCAAGACACCTGAAATATCTTGCTTTAGACCTTGACCAAGGACAAGGACCTTCGAGATAACAGGAAATTCAGCTATGGAGACTTTATTTTGCCCAATGTCTTTCCTACACTCAGTGGACACTATAGCTCTTGTACCAAGAAAGAATCCTTCTCTTGTGGATAATATTGTTGGGTGCAGATGTAACATTCTTGAATCAGACTAATAAATAAAACTGTGATATTCAACTCTAAGAAATCTTCCATAAAGTTATGAGGCAGATACACTGTTGTTGTTCTGTTTAAATATTAGTTGTTCTGTCCTGCAGACTAGAATGTGGTAATAAAGTTGATGGGATAGATTTCTGGATCCCATCACTTAAGGACAGAATGCTTGTTTACATTAACATGCTCGTACCAACTAATCACTTCTTAAAATGGAATTGAGTTACTTGGTAAACACTTTCCTCACCATTTGTTTCAGAAAAATAACCACTTGGTAAAAAAAGTTTTATTTAAGCTCCTAGTTCTTTTTGAAACCATATATTACAGATGACCAAGTTCTTGTCCAGTCTTTTCTCTCCCTTCTTTTATTTCTTATCCTAAATGCAGTCATGAATTAATAAACGTTCTGTTCTAAAGAAACAGCCTAGACAACATGAGAAGTGGTTTGTTATAGTAAAAAGAGCTAAATGTTTGCCAGATAAGCTCAGTTCTTCCACCAACAAGCTCTGTGACCGTGCAAGTCACTTAACTTCTGAGCCTCAGTTTCACCATTTGTAAAATGAGGGCATTGCCTTTTGCCCACCCATCTCATAGGCTCAAGTTAGATAATGTGGCACCCTGGAAAAGGTACTGAATTTGGAGTTAAAGAAGCTCAGCTCAAATCCCAGTTCTGTCACATTCCTTTTATGATGTTGGTCAAGTCACTCAAACAGCCTCTGTTTTTCATCTATAAATGAAGGGGTTGGACAAGACACCTCCTAAGGTTCCTACCTGTTCTAGATTGATGATCCTGTGAATATATGTGAAAGCCCTTTGTAAAGGATGATACATATTTAAGGTATTATTATCAAAGGGGAAGGAGCTTTGAGTTAAGCAATGAGAATGTTTTCTTTCAATTTGTTATAAATTTGTGTCTGGTTACACATGAAACTGTGATACTGCATCTGCAATTACTATGCCAGTTGTTGTTTTGATGAGTACAGCAGACAGCCGGGCTTTGCAGCAACAAGCACTTGACATTTTAAATGGTCCTGACATTATAACTCTGACATTTCATGCTTTTTTTTTATATTCCTTCCAAGAGAAAATGTAATGATGAATGGGATTTCTTGATGGGTTATAACTTTTAAGTTTGGGGTTTCTATAACCCAGGTGCATTAGTGTGTCCATCAGTGCTGGGCTTCCTTACAGAAAGAAAGTACAGACTGAAGAGCAGATGTGACGTATCTTCACATTTAAAATGTTATAATTATACTTTAACTCACTGGTTGTAATACATACACTTTAAAAACAATTTAAGTAAACCTCAGGGTTCCTGCCCACTTCAAAGAGTTGTTGTGATGATCAAATGAGATAATTTCAGGGATTAGGTTTCCGGTTTTGACTATTCCAACTAGCTAGGTGTGTGTGACCTTTACCTTTACGTAAGCATTGTTGTTGAAGGAGGGGCCAAGTACTATGGCTTAAAGTTGGGTTGGCACTAAGAGAAGAATAGTGAAAATTCCCGTAGCTGGGCTGAATGGAGCTACTTTTATGCTAATAAAGGCAGGCTTAGCCTGGGAGTTTTAGGAGGAGGATGAGTTGTCCCTGGCAGCTGTTGGGAGATAATCAGGGTGCCTTGTTGTCTTAAGATGATTTTGATTATTTGTAGAGTGATTGTCCCACATTAGACTCAGTTTCCTCATCTGGAAAATGAGAATAACATTACAAGTATTACACTTCTTATGGTAATTGTTAGATAAGCACTATCCAAGTATATCTCTAAGGATTATGATGATAATGGTAATAATGTTTTATCTTCATGACCTAGCCTTTTTACACATGGCCAATCCTGTTTGTGAGAGTAGAAAATAACAAGTATAGTTTTCTGTTACTCTGTTCACATTGTGCCACCTCTGCGTAGTCTTTCTTTACCCTATTTTAGCAAGAGTTTATGTCACAAAGAATCTCTGCCCCAATTCAATGTAGCCCAGCAGATTCTTAATAAGGGAAATGATCATCAAAAAGACATATAAGACAGAAGCTCAGGCCAGAAATTCTATCCACCCCCAGAAGAGAGTGGAGCCCAACTCCAATATAAAGTTAAAAGTTAAGAAATACTTGGGGAAAATAAGCAAAGGGTGAAAAAAGAACCTGAACATAAAAAACTACTATGGTGACAGGGAAATTCAAAACACAAACTCACAAGAAGACAGTTACTTAAAAACATCTAAAAATGCGATTTGGACAAAAGACCCACAAGCATTCCCAGAAAATCTTTTTTTAAAAGCAATTTAAAAGCAAAGAGTGGGAAATGATTTTTAAAATTGAATAAGAGTGATAGGAAAAAATGGAAAAGAAATAATAACTATGCAATAAAATCATGAGAATAGAATTAATAGCTTGATAAAGGGGGTTAAAAAAATACTGAAGAAAATAACTCCTTAAAAATCAGAATTGACCAATAAAATAGATAAGCCATTGGTTAGTTTGACTTATTAAAAGAAAGATGAAAACCTAATTACTAGTATCAAAAAGGAAAATGGTGAATGCATCACCAATAAAGATAAAGTTAAAGCAATTATTACCTAATTATTTGCCAATAAATCTAACAATCTGAGTGAACATATGAATATTTGCAAAAGCATAAATAGAATGCTCAAATAACCTTATCTTGGAAAAAAAGAATTAACAAGCCATAAATGAGTTCCCAAAGATACTGAGGAATAGATGGATTTACAGATGAATTTTACCAAACATTTAAAGAATAATTAATCATAATACATATAAGCTATTTTTTAAAATCAGCAAAGAAGGAGTCTTATTAAATTCCTTTTATATCACTAATGTTATTTTGAATACCTAAAACAGGAAGAGTAAAAACAGAGAAAGAAAACTATAGATCATTTTTCCCTAATGAATTTTGATGCAAAAATTTTAAATAAAATATCACCAAGGAGATTATACCAATATATCACAAAGATAATACACTATGACCAGGTGGGATTTATACCAGGAATGCAGGGCTAGTTCAATGTTAGGAAAGCTATAAGCATAATTAACCATTTCAGTAACAAAAACAACAAAAATCATATGATTATATCAATAAATGCAGAAAAAAGCTTTTGGCAAAATAGGATACTCATTCCTATTTAAAAAACAACAACAACAACAACAACCTAGAAAGCATAGGGAAAAAATGAAGATTTTCCTAAAATTATGTGTTGTTATTCAGTCATTCAAATGTGTCCTACTCTTTATGATCCCACGGACCATAATACACCAATACTGTCCATGGAATTTTCTTGGCAAAGATCCTGAAATAGTTTGCCATTTCCTTTGCATTAAGGCAAATAGGTTAAGTTACTTGCCCAGACACACACAGCTAGTCAGTGTCTGAGGCCTGATTGGGAACTCAAGTCTTCCTGACTGTAGGCACAAAGCTCCATCTACTGAGCTGCCTACCTGCCTCCTAAAAGGATAAGTAGTATCTATCTAAAACCAAGACTAAGCATTACCTGTAATGGGATAAACTAGAAGCCTTCCCAACAAGACCAGGGGTAAATTAAAGATGTCTAGTAGCACCACTATTATTCAATATTGTATTAGAAATGCTAGCTATAGCAATAATATGAGAAAAAAATGAAGGAATTAGAATAAGTAATAAGGAAACAAAACTATAACTCTTTGTAGACAATATGATCCTGAAGAATCCTGAAGAATCAACTAAAAAAACTAGTTGAAACAATGAACAACATTAGCAAAGTTGCAGAATATAAACTAAATCCCCATAAATCACCACCATTTCTATATATTAACAACAAAATCCAGCAGCAAGAGAGAGAAAGAGAAATTCCATTTAAAATAACTGCAGACAATTTAAAAATGCTTCATAATCTACTTGCCAAGACAAACCCAGGAACCATAAAACACAATTACAGAACACTTTTCACAAAAATAAAGATAAACTTAAATAACTGGAGAAATATTAATTGCTCAAGGGCAAGGCCAAGCCAATACAATAAAAATGACAATTCTACTTAAATTAATTTACTTATTCAGTGCCATGCCAATCAAGCTACCAAAGAATTATTTTATAGAACTAGAAAAAATAATAACAAAATTCATCTGGAACAATAAAAGGTCAAGAATATCAAAGGAATTGGGGCAGCTGTGAATAGAGCACCGGCCCTGGATTCAGGAGGACTTGAGTTCAAATCTGGCCTCAGACACATAACACTTACTAGCTGTGTGATCCTGGGCAAGTCACTTAACCCCATAGCCTAGCCAGAAAAGAAAAAAAAGAATATCAAAGGAATCAATGAAAAAAATGTGAAAGAAGGCAAGCTAGAATTACCATCTTTTAACCTATAATACAAAGTGGTAATCATCAAAATAATAGTACTGGCTAAGAAATAAAGTGGTGGATCAGTGGAATAGATCAAGTATATAATACTAAGTAGTAAATATAGTAATCTAGTGTTTGATAAACCCAAAGATCTAAGCTTTTAGGACAAGAACTCACTATTGGAAAAAAAAACTGCTTGGAGATCTGGAAAGCAATTTGACATAAACTAGGTATAGACCTAGTTTTTTCACACTATATGCCAAGATAAGGTCAAAATAGGTACATGATTTAAAGACATAAAGGGTGGTATAAGAAAATTAGGGGAGCATGGAAAAATGTAGCTGTCAGATCTATGAATAAGGAAAGAATTTATGACCAAACAAGAGATAGAGATAATCACAGGAAGTAACATGAATAATTTTAATTACATTAAATTAAAAATGGTTTCCACAAACAAAACCAATGCAGCCAAAATTAGAAGGAAAGCAGGAAACTGGAGGAAGGGGATTACAACATTTCTCTGATAAAGGCCTCTTTTGTCAAATTTATAGGAAACTGAGTCAAATTTATAAAGAGTCATTCCCCAATAGGTAAATGGGCAAAAGATATGAACAGGCAGTTTTCAGCAGAAGAAATCAGAAGAAATCAAAGCTATCTATAGTTACATGAAAAAAAAATGCT